GCTTGCCTGGCAAGCACAAGCTCCTGAGTTCAATTCCCAGTACCAAAAATAAAGAAATGAAACATATGAGTATTCCAGTTCTTTAGATCCTGATCATCATTTGATGTTTTGAACTTTTTGGACTTTGTAGTTTTAATGTATTAATAGCTCATCATAGGTTTAATTTGCATTTCCCTGGTAATTAATGATGTTGAATTTATATTCTTTTTTTCTGGGTGGGGGGTGGTACCAGGAATCAAACTCAGGAACTCACACTTGACTTGCCAGGCAGGTGGTGGGCCACTGTGCTAAATCCCTGGCTTTTGTTTTTTTTTTAAACAGAGTCTTGCTATGTAGTTCACGCTGGCCTCAAACTCTTAAGGGATCCTGCAGCCTCAGCCTCCCAAGTGCTGGGATTACAGGTGTGTGCCACCATACCTGGCTCATATTCTTACTTGGTGAAAGGTTTGTCAAAATCTTTTGTGCCCATCCCCTTTATCAGCTTGTTTGCCTTTTTATTGAGTTGTATAAGTTCCAATGCTAAATTCCTTGATCACATGTTCTCCTTCTATCTCCAGTTAGTGTTCCTGCCATGAGCTAGGCATCAGACAGACATGGATTCAAATTCCTGCACTAGCACTTAATCTGTGTGAGCCTAAGCAATCCAAGTCACTTTTCTTCAGCTGAAAAGGGAAAGTTTTCAGGGTTATTGTCACAAACTATGTGTTTATAGGATTTGAAATGTATCAAATGCTTAATAACACTGATTCAAGTGACCCATCAGATAGGCACTATTCTCTCCATCTTATAGAGAAGCAAACTGAACTACAGGAATTGAGATAATTTTCTAAGATACCAGTGAGTGATAGAGCCAGGACCAGCATCTATAATACCAACTGGGCAGTACTTTTTTTCAAAAGTAGTTACCATGATTATGATTATTTTGCGCTTCTGTTTTGTTTCCTTTTGAAGTTGCCTGTCCCTATTCAGGACCCAGCTTCTTCTAGTGAATCTTCTTTGTCTCTAGTGGGCTACAGTCTAGTGCACATCTGCCACAGCCCTCCTCAAATTAAATTTCCATTATCTAGTCATGTCTGCTCCTAGAAAACCTTCTGGTCCCCTTAGTATTCCATTGCTATGCAAATGGCTAGCATATTATAGGTGATAATAATGCATGAATGAACACCAGAAGCTGGCATGGTGGCCTGTGTCTATACTCCTAGCTACTGAGGAAGCTGAGGCAGGAGGATCAAACGGTCAAGTCCAGGCTGGACAATTTATGGAGACTGTCTCAAAATTTAAAAAGGCTGCCGGATGGGATATGGTGGCACACGCCCATAATCCCAGCACTCAAGACTGAGAGAGGAAGATTGCCATGAGTTCAAGGCCAGCCTGAACTACACATCAAATGCTGTCTCAAAAAAATTATTTTTAAAGGCTGAGGATGTAGCCAGAGTTGAAGCACTTGACTGACATGCATAAGGCCCTGGCTTCAGTCCAATCCCCAGAATGCAAAAACAAAAAGCACGATTCTGTATTGTCCCCATACTGCCCTGCTGTTATAGTCAACTTCTCTGATTTCTGGGGAGTGAACTTGTGCAGGGTGAACTTCTGAGCTGTAGTCTCTCATCTGTCCTCCGCAGCATTGGATCCTGTAAGGAGGAGCCTCTCTTCTCCCCACCACCTCCAATGTTTGTGTGGATGCACACCCAGTAACAAGTCTGCAACAGGAAGAAGCAGCACTGTGGTTTGGAGACTGAAAGCTACGCTCCCTGACTCAGAATTAGTGTCAAACCATCCTCCCATCTCCAAGGGCACTCAAAACAGACCACTGGAGATAGTGCCTCTGAAGGCCAGCCAACCCCCTGTGGTTTGGCAAGAGAACAGGTCATTGTCCCAACCAGGAAGTGGTCCTGTGGTCTCAGATGACCCAAGACTTTTCCCATCAGGACTGGGGCTCGTAGCCACTAAACTGAAGGCTTCCTAGAGATTCAAACAATTCTGCTTCTCAAGAGGGCTCTCCCTAGTCAGACTCCCTGTCCCTACTCCACAATCTTATTATTGTGTGACTGGGGTACCAAGATATTTATTGGCATGTTGGTGGCAACCAGTGCAGCTTCCCATCATTTACCCTACAGGGGAGAGGGATCATGGGTTGCAGCCCCAGGGAAGATTCAGTCAGTCAAACAGGAGGTAAAGTCTTGCTACTCTGAAGGAGAAGGAAGGAAGGAAGGAAGGAAGGAAGGAAGGAAGGAAGGAAGGAAGGGGGAAATTCATAAGAAGATAGAGACAATCTCAGTAGGATGATCTCAACTTTGACCCAGTGACTTTGGTAACAGATACTCTTTCCCCAAGCAGTGACTTTGGATAACACATACTCTTTCCACGGGCTTCCAAGAGACAGGTAAAAGGCAAATGGACACTGCTTCTCACTATTGTTTTGAGCACTTAAGTCACTTACAATGGCCTCCTGCGATTTGAAGCAAACCCTGTTGCTTGGCCTGACTAGCACAGAGCATTAAGATTTAGGCAGTCAGTCATTAATCCCATGGGCACTGTTTGATACATGAAGGGAGGAAAGTGAAATTTTGTGTGTGAAAAGTGAGTTTTGTGTTTCTTAAGCCCAGATCCTATAATCCTCTCCATTCAACATTTCCTCGGCATTCACGTACACATGGCTTCATTCATGAGTTGGTGACTGTTTCTTTCCAGCCCAGTCTTCTCAGCCAAATTCCATGCCTCTGGATCCAAGTGCTTAATCAGTATGTCTACAACCAGCTGTGTGACCTATTCCCAAACATGGCTCCTCTCAACTCCCCCAGTCTGGGTCAAGGGCTCTCTAAACTATCCTGCCGCAGGAGGTAGAAACAGTAGCAGCATCCTTGACACTTTCCTTTCTCATATTCATAAAATCTTTTGGAATTTGCCTTCTAAATTTCTCCTCTACTTTTCTCCATCTCCCTGCCTCCACACCAGCCTGTTCTCACTTACCCAGATGGCTGCAGACTTTTGACTTCCAGGGGTCCATTCTGGCTCCCTCCTTCAGTGCTCCACAAGAGGCCTTCCAGCCAGTCTTCCTCCAGTCTATTCCTATCATCATTTGGATCCTTGCTCTAATGCCAGTTCCTCAAGGGAAACACCTGGTGATCTCTCTGAATAGGCTACTTCCTAGCACTAGTCACAGTTGAGATTTAACACACACACACACACACTATACTCTAAACCTTTGTGACAGCAAGGTCTTTTTGGGGGGGACCGGTGTCTTACACATGCTAAATCCCGACATTCAATCTTCACTGAATGAATGATGTCACTTCCTTGTGCCTGCTTCAACTCAAATAAGTGAATCACCAGTCTTCTGGGCCACCATTACCTCCTGCATAGATTACTGTGCTATCTCTCTGTCTTAAGCCTGTCCTCCAATATACTCTACATTGTACCCAATATTAGCTTTTAAATACGCAAATTCAAGCCAGGTGTGGTGGTGCACACCTGTAATTCCAGCACCTGGGAGGCTGAGGGAGGAGGATTGCTGTGAGTCCAAGACCAGCCCGGGCTACAGAGTAAGGTCAAGGCCAGCATGAACTACATGGTGAGACCCTGAATCCAAAATAAGTAAATAAATCCAGCTACCTGTAATCCCTTCACTACTCTCAATAAAGTTTGAACTCTTAAAAGGGCCTTTAACATGTAAACTGCTAATAACCTATCCAGGGATTACATCCTCTTGTTCGTTAGTAACAAAGCCTGATTCTATCAGGTAACAGAGTAGCTGCTAAAGAAGTAGCCCAGAATCCCACTCACAGTGCCCAGCATGCTTTTCAGAGATCTAATAGTACAGGAATTGGATACATTGGTAAATTGGTATCTTGAGTTACTACCTTCCCAAAAAACAGAATTTCCTTTTTTCTAGAACTTTATTTCTATGTCTATAAAGTGTCTACAAATGAAACACTTCCTATACCACCAAGTTCAGGCCAGTAGGATGAAAGCAGATGCTATTTCTTGGAAATTTCAAAAATGGTTCTTAAAGTAGGGATAGATATCAAGCTACGCTCTTTGCTCATCCCCCTTCTTTTTGCCCATTTCAAAATCGTAACAGCTTGAGTTGTAACAGCCACTCTGATGACCCCCTCTATAAGAATGCAAGTCATATGCCTTGGACTCCTGAGCAAAAAAAAAAAAAAAAAAAAAAAAAGAAGCCAAAAAGGCCAAGCATGGTGGCACATCCCTGTAATCCTAGCCACTTGGGAGACTGGGCCATGATTATAAATTTGAGGCCAGCCTGAACACAACCCTAACTCAAAAAAAAAAGGGGGGGGGGGCTGGATAGCACTGCATTTCCTGGGTTTAATCTCCATTACTGGAGAAAATAAAACCCCCAAAAGACCAACCTTTAGTAACTACAGAACCTCGTAGTGTGTATTTGGGATTTCTTTTATATGAGGAAACGCATTTGTATCTTATGTCATGCTCTTTTACTAGCAGTCGAGCTGAAACCTAATACAGGCTTCAAAACATTTCACAACCTGACCTTTGTCGATCTTACCTCATCATGTTTTTAAATCTAATCATTCTTCCCAACGTCTTTTCAGTTTCTCATGGCTATATTATCGCCAGTTAGTCTTCATGAGCTGCTCCTTCTGCTGGAATCATGCCCTCCTTTTCACTAGACCTGATTAATTCCTAGTTGTTCTTGAGATTTCTATTTAGAAATCAGCTCCTCAATTACCATTCCAGCTAGGTTAGCTATCCCTGCCTGCGGGTACCAGAGTAGTGCCTCTTCATGCTGTTTATCACACTGAGTTTTGATACTTTTATTGAGTCACTAAACCTCAAGAAGAGAGGAATACAGTTTGTTTGCTCAGCACTATATTCCAAATGCCCAGCACAGGTGTCCAATAAACATTTCTTGAAAAAAAAAAACCCAGAATAAATGGTTGATGGAGATATGGCGTTGGTTAGAGAGCTAAAGACACAGTGAGTCTGTATCTCTGTGGTATCAAAAATGAGTGGAATGATTGGTATGTTACTACTTGTTTATTATTTATACCATGTCCTTTTCCAAAAAGGATGTAAGGAGGCAAAATAGTTGGAGTACCACCTCATCGGAGTGCTAATGCGTTCACATCCACTTAGAGACATGGGTTTAGGAGACTACTAGAAGACTACAGGATAGAGTTGGGGGGAGAGGAGTGCTAAGAAAAGCAGCGGCATCCTGTCCTACCTCATCTTCCATCTCCTCACTTGCAAGTCCTACCTCAGGAGTAAGCCAAAAACTGGCAGGAAAGTTGTGGCAGGAAAAGGTTAGCAGTAAAGCAGGAGAAAATTAATTCTCAGAGAGATACACCATCCCACCATCCTTCCTTCCCTTTGGTGCCCACTGCAAGTGAAGTGTCTGGATTCTCCAGAAGGGGTCTCGCTGGGCCTAGGGTTCATGTGGAGAACAGCCAGCTCGCTCAGTCTGCAGGAGGGGCCCTCTGCTAGCTGCAGGTTCGGGGCTGTGCTTCTCCATCACCCCCATTCTCCTCTTCATCAGACTGTGCCAAAGGTGTGTCTGCTCCACCTTCGCTCGGATTGGGACTGTGCAGGCTGGTGGAGGAGTCAGAGGACGAGGAGGAAGTCCGGGATGTTGTCCTGTCTGGCTCGAGCAATGGCAGGCTCAGCTCCTCTGGATGGTCATCCACCCCTGCCCACAAAGAAGAGCTTGTCAGGTCTCCAAACAGGGCTTCAGAGAACTCTTAGGGGTTAACATGGCCAGACAAACTAAAGCCCAGACAGGGGCAAGTATCTATCCAGCATCTCCTGGCTGCAGCTCCTTCTACTCACCACACCATGGTTGGGCTCAGAATCAGATCAGTTAATTCAAGGTATTGTTGAGTAGCTCTAAACAATTAATTTTCCCTTTTGAGGATTCTGCTCCTCTTCTCTTAAAAAAAAATGGTTACCTATGTTCTCTAAAGGTTTTAAGGATAAAACCTGAGGTTGTTTATAAAAATGTCTGGCATAGTAGACTCTCAATAGCAGGTTTGTTTTGTTTTGAGACAGGATCTCACTATGCAGTTTAGGCTGGTCTTGAGCTCATTTTTGTAGCCCAGGCTGGTCTCAAACTTGAAACAATCCTCCTACCTCAACCTCTGAACCTCCTAACTCAACCTCCGATCCTCCTGCCTAGCCTCTGGAGTGTTGGATAACAGGCATGCGCCACCATGCTGGACATTAGTAGCAGTTTTAAATAACAGAATATTTTACATATTAAACATGGACTTTGGAACCTGACAGACATGATTTGAATTCCATGTTTTCTACTTCCTGAACTTTTCTGAATAATTTCTGTCTTTATAAAATGAAGGTTATACTACCTGCCTTGCTAGGAAGTTATGAACATTGAGATAACAGGTTTAAAGTATATATATATATATATATATATATATATATATATATATATACTCTTGTTTTGTAGTGGAGAGTGGCTTTGGTCTTGAACTCACTATGTAGTCCAGGCAGTGATTCTCTTGCCTCAGCCTCTTAAGTCCTGGGATAATAGGCACTGGACATTATACCCAGCATTTAAAGTATTTTAGCACAGTATTAGCAACCCAGAGAAAGTGTTTGGTAACTATTAAAGTCTTTAAAGTTATTAAAGACTAAAATTGCTTAAATTGTCTAATGTAAAATTACATTGTACATTATTTTAATTATAATAATTGCATTAATTTCACAAATGTAAAATTACAAAGTGAAAGAGGCTGGTCTTTGCCAGGATTCTGACCTGGGGATCTATAACCCAGTTCCTCCTCTGGGTGAATTTCTATAAAATCAGAACAGGCAGCAGTTTTGCTGATGGAAACACCCACTTCCAACCTTCCTTGTATTTCTCCCCCAGCCCGGTCTTGCACCCTCATTTCAGAGCCCAGAAACCTGGCTGTGTCTGACCAGTGCCCAAGTCCCCAAAGCAAAGGGCCATACCAGCTGTCTGAGGGGTTGGTGGAGGATCTTCACAAGGCAAGAACACATCTGCTCCATCCTGATCCCCAAGATCAATAAGTTCTACTTGCTCCAGCGTGTCCACATTCACTTCCATGGATGAGATACTACCTATGGGGGCTGAGGATGGAGAGGGTAAACGAGGAAGACCAAGGTGGTGCTGACACATACCTGCCAGATCCCAAGGTAGTTTATTGGGTCAAGACAGCAAAAAAGGCTTAAGCCCAAGATTCAGGACCCATAGGATTGCCTCCCTGCCCTACCCCAATCCTATTCCTCAGGGCTTGGAACTTACGTCTCTGGGACTCAAGATGCAGGTGGGACAGAGGAAAGACAAACTCTGTCTCTGGCTGTAAAATATCCTCAAAGAATTTCTGCCGCTCCCGGAGGCGGAGCTGCTGGCGCTCAAGGGTTGCCCGCGGATTTGGGTCCATGTCAACCCCTGGAGGGTAGAGGAGCAAGACAAGCACAGCTGTGAGGCTGAGTGAGAAAACTGTAGGGGCTTGGGACTAGGGAACTCCACTGCAGCCAGCATCCCAGCAGCAGGGCCTCTGGTTCCAGGCAGGGCGCTTCTGCCCTTAGCTACCTCTCTCCCCTTCTCTGAAACAAAGCCCACTCCACAAACCAAGACTTATGCAGAGGCGGGGCTTGCTCCAACTCCACAAAGGGGATGCCAGTTCCAGGCACGGCAAAGATCCTCTGTATTCAGGGAAGACAACCAATGATCAGCTCTCAGTATCATGCCCTTCTAAGAGGCTTGGAGGGGCTGATCCAGCCCAAAATTTGGCAGAGATACCTGATAGAGTCAGCAGGGTGGAAAAGCCTCCTCCTCTAGTGTTTTAACTGGTTTTTCCTCATCCTTCAAAACCAGAGGCTAAGAAATCATCCTCCCCCCACCCCTTCTCTCCACATGCACATGCCATCCATCACCTCCATCTCCAAACTCTTGCTTTGAAGCCACAGACCAGACTTCTACATGTGGCTCTGCCTCTAAGGAAATCATCTTTCTGACCTCGGTGTTACAATCTGAAATGGTACAGTCCAATCCTTCTCATTGCCTAAAACATAAGGCACTAAAAGTGACCTACTTGGGGATCGACCATCTTTTCTCTGAACTCCAACAGCTCCTTATTTGCTGCCCTCCTCTGACATATCTCGCCTAGTCAGTAAATCGTGCTTGGAAGGGCAGGTCCTCGGTCTTGTCCAATTCAGATCAGGCCTCTGACCCCCAACGCTGAGAGCTTTCTAGAACATTAGAGCTCTGGCCAGCCCAGGCCCCGTGCATTCACTCTCATTCGCTCAGTCTCATTCCTGGCATTCTGCATGAGCCCATCACCAGGAGCAGGAGTTTCTAGAGGACCAGAACGTTATCCTCTGTGAAGCGCCACGTCTGGACTCAGCGTATCCCAGACCCTGACCAGCTCCACTGGCGCTGGCGCAGCTTAAAGGGACCCAAACCCAAGCGGGGTCAAGGAAGTGGTGTAGGTAGCCAGTGCTGGGCACGGGCTGGCAGAGGAGCAGGGAGGCGCTGACGCCGGTTCCTGGGAAAGGCTCTTAGAGCTGCCGCCCAGGTCACAACGCTAAAAATATCCAGGGCTCCTGGGGCCGTCTGCCCTAGCAGCGGGGGCGAGGGGGAGGAGAGACCGAGGGGATAGCTGACGGGTACCAGGGGCTCCCAGACGCCACCTCCTTTTCCCCTCCCAGGAACCCACTGGTCTCACGCGATTGAAGGGGCTGCCCTCCGGGGGCCGAGGAGCCGGGAGCTGGAGCAAGGGAGTTGTTTACGCGATTGTCGATGCTTGGGAGAGAGTGCAGAGATTTGGGGCTGGTTGCTGCCAGGGGCCTAGGCAGGAGCCAGAGAAACGGACAACTCCCTCTCGGTCCCAGCCCCACCCGCTATGGAGTAAGCAAGGGGAAAAGAATGCCCTAAAAAGGGACACGCCGCGCCGCGGGGGGAAGGGAGGGGTCGAGGAGGACGCCGCCCCCTCCTCCCCGCGGCCCACTCGTGCCCGTCCCCCGCGGCACCTGCGCCCACCGCGGCCGGAGCCCCTACCTGCAGCGCTGGCGCCCCGCTGACTCAGTCTGTCCGCCCCGGCGAGGTGGAGACGGGGGCGTGGGAGCGAGCCGCGCCGGCCGGGGTGGGGCCGCGCCTCCGGGTCTCCCCCGGGACGGACGGCCCCGGGAGCGGGGAACGAGGAAGAGGCGGGCGGCGGAAGTGGGGGAGGGGCGGCGGCGGGCACAGCCGCCCCGCTCTGGCCCGGCGGCCGCGGGCGGCCCCTTCCAGCGCGACTGCTCGGACTTGCGGGGCGAGCAAAAAGTTACCCGCACGCATCCTTCCTCCGTGCGCCCGGCCGCGCTCCTCTGCACACCGCCTCGCCGCGCGCGGGTCCGCACCCGCAGGGGTGCACTTGCCGCGCCCCCGCCCCGCGCAGATTCGCGGCGGGCACCGGCGCCGGCTCTCTGCCCACGCACACTTGCTGCTCCCGGGCTCCTGGGCAGCGCCCACGCAGCGGCTGAGCGCGCGCAGCAGCCGCTACCTGACTGCCGGCACCCTTGCGGCGGCCGCGCTTGCGGGGCTTAGGCGCGCACTTCTCGAGAAGGCGCAGCTGGGTAAGGGAGGGTGGAGAGCGGCCGGAGGGGAGCGGCACTGACCCAGCAAGGCAGGTGCATTGCGGTGGACGGGCCCCTGACGCCAGAACTCACCCTGCTCCTGATTCCTGTCTCCTGGGCTACACCGAGCCGCCACCCAGTCCACCAGTGCATTGGGCGGAGAGGGCCGGATGAACCTCTGCGCTGAGCCTCTAGACGCAGGCGAGGAGCCAGTACTTCCATGATCGATCGTAAAAGGGGTACTGGACGTCCAGCTTACAGAGTAAAAGGGCCAGGAGGAAACTGCGGGCCAAGGGGACATGTTTGCACCGTGGACTCAGACCAGTCCTAGAGGTGTCCAACCTAGTAGTTCCTGGGTGGAGACTCCATGCTCATTCTCTTCCCCTTCTCTTTCCACCCACTTCCTTGCCTGAGCTCCGGAAGCATCGGACTAGCCGGTGGTGTGTGTGGGGGGGGTGCGAGTCTGTGTTGGGGTGACCCCATTCTGTGTTGGGGTCACTCAGTAATTCATTCAGCAAACATCCACGAACTAGCCAGGAATTAGGCATCTTTGGCACCTCCTTTCCCCTCCTCAATCACATTAAAAATACACCTCCATTTCCTGTAAAGCCTCTTTCCCTAAAGGTATCTCGCCAACCCACCATTCCTCCGCTTCTCCACTATCCTCTCTCTTGAATTTCCACTGTGGTAGCTTCTGTCTGGTTTTCCTGCGCAGCTTGTGGGCCTATTACACTCCGCTCCCCACAATGCAGCTGGCTGTCTTTCCCAAGTCTGAAGTGCCACCCCTGGCTGAAATCCCCTCAGAGTGAAACCCAGGCGCTGACACCGGATCTCAGCCTGCAGAGAAGAGGGGGAAGGGAGTGTGCAAAGGGCTGAAATCAAGTGTGAAAATTCGTGTCACGTCCAGGGTTTCCTGTCAGAAACAGCACTCTACCAATTCCTAAGGCATTTACTCTTGTTAGTGAGATGGCACAAACCAATAAGATAAATACGGCAAACAGCCTCCCCCTCAAGTTTACAAGCGTAGGCACTAGCTTGTGGGAGGTAAACGAGGTGCTGAGGACCATCCCAGGGCTGTGACCTGCAGTCTGAGCGACCTGGGAAAACACTTCTCTCGTCCTGATTTCCTTGCCCATGAACCAGGAATCGTTTATCTCCACCTCTTATGAGATACTTCATACAAATTGCTAAGTGCAGGATTTGAGCACTTTGAGGATGCTCCGCAGTGAACTGTTTTGATTGCAATGGGTTCTGGGAAAGGGAAGGAACTGCTCTCTGCCACAGATTTCTGAGCTTATAGGGAGTCCTAATTGTTAACACGCCTACTGAGCTTATGATGTGCCAGCTACTACTGTAAGTGCTTCACATATCTCTTTTGCTTGTCCAAACACTCCTATGACCTAAGCGCTATTATTTCCACTTTACAGATTAGAAACTGAGATAGAAGGAAAGAAACTTGCTCAAGGACCTGCAGCTAGTTGGTGGCAGAGCCGGGATTTGAACTCCTAGACTATTCTCTCTCTGCTCAGTTGTAATTTTCATTTTCCAGGGAATATTTTAGTAATCTTGATTACTGTTTCTTATTAGTATAGGGGTGGTTATTTGGGTCCCCCTGCTTTTTTTTTCTCTTTTTTTTTTTTACTGGGAAATGAATCCAAAGCCGTACAGAGTTACATCTCCACCTTTTTATTTATTTATTTATCTATTTATTTTGAAACAAGGTCTTGCTAAGTCACAAAATTGCCCAATCTGGGCTCAAAATTTCCATCCATCTGTCTCAGCCTCTTGGTGTTGGAGTTACAGGGGTGGGTCACCATGCCCAACTTTGGGTCCCTCTTTCTAGCACAGAAGAATGAGAGCAAGTCAGGAATATAGTGGTGGATCTCAGATCCTAAAGTCACCTCCCCCATTTTCAGGTTTATCACTGGGAACAGGACTCCCTAGGTTATTTTGAACCTCTGTCCATTCTCTTTGCCTGTTAGCCACAAGAAGGTGGGGGGACCCTGGACGAGGTGGTGCATACTTATAATTCCAGCACAGGAGGCTGAGGCAAAAGAACTACCTTGAGTTTGAGGCCAGTTTGGGTGCAGAATGAGTTCCAGGCCAGCCTAAACTACTTAGCAAGCCCCAAAAAGAAAGAATGGCTTGGTGGTGATGGTGGGGATTCCAAGCTCAAAATAATTTAGAGGACTAAACTGTAAGGATGTTACCCAAGAAAAAGACCCAGGCAGCAGACCAGGACGAGATGGCCAAAGGAATTAAAAAGAGCAGTGAAAAAGTTAATGGCCTGATACTTCTCTCTCCCAGCTAAGATACAGGAAACTGGGGAAAGTGTTACTACTATACCAATAACAACTGGTTTTTGTTTTGTAGTTCAGGCTGGGCTTGAACTCACTGTGTTGTCCAGACTGATCCTGCATATACACTGATCTTTTTGCCTCAGCCTCCCAAGTGCTAGCATTACAGTTGTGCGCCACTATGCCTAGTTACTAATAATAGTCTTTGAAGGTTCTTGGATAATAAACAAATCATAACTTTTGTCAAACCCATCAGAGAGATGAGGTCGCAGAGCAACTAACCAACCTGCCTTCCAAAGGACAGGAGACTCCACTAAGAGAAGGGATATAGGTATTGGCTCACTTGAAAAGCAGAACAAATACGAATTGTCATGCGAGATGGTAAGAAGAGTTTAGTTAGCTAGATTTGTATGGAACTGCTAGAGTCCTGTTGCTATGGTTTAGATCTATAATGGTCCCCCAAGCCCCCATATGTTCGGCAAGTAATTGGACTTGGGGGGGCATTATAACTGGCTTGTGGTTAGGAAAAGGGGAGTCACTGGGGGCAGTCACTGGAGAGTCTGTGTTCTCTCTGCTCCTCCCTTCTCCTTCTGCTTCCCAGCCACCATCAGCAGCAATGCCGGCCCTTCCACTGTTCCTTCCTGCCTTGGAGCCAGTCAACCACTGACTCAAAAAGCAGCTGAAATAAAACTCTAAATTGCATGTGTCAGGTATTTTGTTCCAGTGGTGAGAAAAGTGACTAAGACATCTGGTGTGGCTAATGTGAGCGTATGGAATCTGTGGGAGTCACAAGCAATAAAATGATAGAAACAACAGAACTCAGATTGCATTCAGCTCCTGACAAGACTGACTCTTGACAAGGCTGATTCAATACCGCACACTGACAGCCTAACAGAGGAAGAGAGACAAGAGATGAGTATATAAATAACATGGTACTCAGCCCCTCCTCTTCCTACACCATGCATAGAAACCAGGCAAGGGCAATATCACCATTATTAGAAATTAAACTGCACAGTTATAATTAAAAAACAAAGTCATAGCACACATATTTTTAAAAACTATTCTGTTGAGAAACAAAGCAATCATCTAAATGAAGGCCTAGACACTGCAGCTATCTGACAAGAGGATTTGAAATGACTTGAATTAATATGTAAAAAGCTCTTTAGAAAGTGTAGACATGAAGACTATAAAAAAAAGTCATGGCAACTCTGTACATAAACAACCGTTGCAAATGCTGTACTTGAAGAACACCTTTGACAGGTTCGTCAGTAATTGCAACACAGCTAAGGGGAGAACCTGGGACCTGCTCAGAATGGGGCACACATCTGTAATCCCAGCTCCTCGAAAGGCTGAGGCAGGAGTTTTGCAAGTTTAAGGCTAGCCTTGGCACTATAAAGAGACTCTATTTCAAAATAAAATAATAGTTTTTTAAAAGCCAGGCCAGGGATGGTGGTTCATGCCTGTCATACTTGGGAGGCTGAGGCAAAAAGATTGCCGTGAGTGCGAGGTCAGGGCCAGCCCAGGCTACATAGTGAGTTCAAGGCAAGCCTGAACTACATAGTGAAAGCCTGTTTCAAAGAACCAATAAATAAATAAATTAGTAAATAGTAAAATAATAAAGAACTGGTGATAGAGCTCAGTGGTAATAGGCCCTGGGTTCAATCTTCAATGCCACCAAGGGCAAAAAATAGAGAATAAATGGTAAATTTTAGTGCAACAGAAGCTGAAACTTGGTTGGTTTGCTGAACCAACCAAGAAAAAAAAAAAAAAAAAAAAACTAAATCAAAGAGGCAATATGTGAGTAATTCGGATTCTAGAAGAAAAGGCAGAGAAATATGAGTAAGTTATATGTAGATAAAACATCCAATAATTTTCCAAAAATAATGAAAGATATCAAACCACAGAGCTAGGAAACACAATCCAAAAATATTAAATAACAAGTCATAGAGACATAACATATAAGCACATGAAAAATACAACCTGATACATTATACTCAAAATGTTGAAAACCAAAGATAGAAAACCTTAAACACATCTAATGGAAAAAGACACACTATCTCCAAAAGAACAAAGGTAGAAATTATAGATTTCTCATTAGAAATTCTATGACCAAGCCAGGTATGGTGGTGCATGCCTATATTCCCAGCACTCGGGAGACTGAGGCCAGAGGGTCATGGCAAGTTTGAGACCACCCTGGCTACGAAGTGAACTTAAGATCAGCTTGGACTGCATAGTAAGTAAGACCCTGTCTCAAAAAGATAAAAAATTTTTTTTCTATGACCAAGACATATCAGAGTGATCTCCTTAAAATGATGGAAGTTACTACCAACCCAGAAACTTATAGTGAGAATATCTGTCAAACGTTAAGATATATAAACACTTTTCCAGATAAACAATTGAGAAAATTCATTACTAGCAGAACAGCCCTACAAGAAATGGCAAACGAAGTTCTCTGGGCAGCAGTATGAGAGAAATTTGGATCTAAATAAAGAAATGAACAGAATAGTGGTAAATATGAGATAGCGTTTTCTCATTTTTTCTCACCTTAAAAGATAATTTACTCATCCAAGGCAAAAGAGTAACAAGGCATTGTGGGTTTATAGAAAACAAATACTGTAAAAGTAAAATGTCTGACAACAACAATATAAAAATAACAGGATGGAGAATTTAGAAATACGCTGTTAAAGGAAGCCTCGTGTGGTGTAAGTGCTGAGGATGTAGCTCAGTGGTACAGCACTTGCCTAAACTATGAAAAAAAGAAAAATGTGGATAATATTACTTGGAGATAAACTTTGTTTAAAGATATGGGTTATAAAAAGTAAAGTTGTATGTTATAAATTTTCAAGGACAACCACTAAAACATTTTTTTCTTGAAAGAGAATCAAGTTTAATTCTGTAACCAGCTACTGAGTCCAAACAACTCAATTTACAGTTGTGTTTTTTCATATTTATACCTCAAACAAGTGTTTTTCACAAGCGTGGACAGGCAAGTCACTCCTTAAGGCAGGATCATTAATGGTCTCTTGAGTCAAGCTTTATGGCTGCAGCTGCATACAGGTGGTCGCCTCCTGGGGATGTATAAATTCAGGTGCCCAATCCTGTTTTTCTTATCTTTAAGCAAACATTCTAGTTTTCTATGAGATTAACGGTTTAGCATTACTCAGAGATTAATACAAGAAGGCATTCCTTAGGCTCCACTGCCTTCTTTAAGGCCTCCAGTGCAGGTCTCAGATTAGTAAAGTTTTGAGCGTTGACTTTCTCAAGAGTTTTAAATTCTTTGTTATTTACACAAACCCAAGTAGCTAGCAACTAGATATTATATGAGCAGCCACAAATGGCAGAAGAGTTTTTAGTTTATGGCAGCTTCAGCTTGAGATAAACAGTATACCAACTGGGGGTATTTTGAGATGGCAGAAGATACACACTTACCTGTGACAGCTGCAAGAGGACCCTTAAGGGGAGGTACCAGAATTTTTTCTAAAATGAGGTATAAGTAGCCAGTGGTGGTACATGACTGTAATCCCAGTTTGGAAGATCGAGGCAGGAAGATCACAAGTTCAAGGTCAGTAGGGGAAACTTAGTGAGATCTTGTCCAAAAGAAAGAAAGAAAAGAAAAAGAAAAAAACAGGCGTGGTGGGTCCTGTCCTGCAGTCCCAGCACTCGGGAGGCTAAGGCAGGAGAACTGTGCAAGTTTGAGGCCAGCCTGAACCACACAGTGAGTTCAAGGATAGCTTGAACTAGGTAGTGAGATCCTGTCTCAAAAAAAAATTTTTTTTCTAAAGGGTTTGGGTTATAGATCAATCATAGTCAAGTTCAATCCCCAGTATGGCAGTAGGAGAAAAACAGAGGTATAAATAACAAGTTAATATGGGAGATACTATAGCGCCATAAAAATGTTGGCATGGGGGACTATGTGAGATCACAGTCATGGACACATTAATTGCTGTCTACGTGTATCTATGACATCAGGCTGTATACCTTAAATATATACAATGTAATTTATTACAAAAAATTAATTACTTTAATAGCCAGGCATGATCATGCATACCTGTAATCCCAGCATTAGGGAGGCTAAAACAGGAGGACTGTCATGAATTTGAGGCCATTTTGAGCTACATAGTGAGACCCTGTCTCAAAAAACCAAAAATAAAAATAATAAATCATATAATAATAAATGCTGGGAGGCAGTCTCGCTAGGTGTTTTGTGTTCATTGTACTGCACTGAGTATGTCATAATCCCAAGGCCTGGTTCACTGGAGTCCCTGCTCACCATTGTTAATACAACAGACAGTTTTTAGAGATGAGATAAGGCTTGCTGAGTGCTTGCCTGCTAAGAGAGGTGCTGGGCCTGGGGCCTGAGGTACATCGCAAAACCACTGTGTGCATCTGGACCCACTGCACCACCTGCTGCAGGGGCCAGGGAGACCAACTCGGCTGTTGTGATATTCACTTTTCATTTAATTCAAAATATTTTTAAGTTTCTCTTGAGATTTCTGCTTTGATCCATGTGTTACTCAGTGTTGTCATGTTTTATCGGCAAGTATCTTGGGATTTTCCAGATTTCCATTATTGATTTCTTATTCAATTCCATTGTGGACTTGAAGGCATACTTTGTATGATTTCTGTGCTCTTATATTTTTCCAGGTGTGTTTTGTTTTGTTTTGTTTTGACACAGGGTCTTGCTGTGTAGCCCAGGTAAACCTCAAACTCATTTTCCTCTTATTTCAGCCTCCTGAGTGCTAGGATAACAGGCATGCACCATCATATGTGCCTTTTTAGGTGTATTCTATGGCCCAAAATTTGTCCTGTCTTCCATGTTTCATTATCTAAACTTGATAAAAATATGTATTCTGATGTCATTTGATGAAGTAGTCTATAAATACTAGTTAGATCAAATTGATTGATGGTGGTATTCAGGTCAAATATATCTAATTTTCTGCCTCTTGACTTACCAATTATTGAAACAGGATCACTGAAGTCTTCAACTATAGTAGGATTTATCTGTTTCACCTGGGAGTTTACTAGTTTTTGCCTGACCAATTTTAGCACTCTATTTTTAGTGGTATATATGTAAATAATTGGTATGTCTAATTGCAGAATGGAATCTTTTTTTTGTATGTTTTGTTTTTTAAAAAACTTTTATTAGTACATGTTTGTAGTGTAGGAGTACATGTGCTGGGTATAGTGGTGCACACCTATAATTCCAGCACTCATGAGGCTGAGGCAGGAGTATCACCACAAAGCCAAGACCAGCCTGCGCCATATAGTGAGGCCAGCCTGAACTACAATGCTAGACCCTAATAATAATAACAACAACAACATGTATCATGAGGAGTTGGTATATTTACTGGACTCCTCTATTATTATTTATATTCTTTTTTTTTTTTTTTTTTTTTTTGAGACAGAGTCTCACTATGGATACCAGGCTGGCTTTGAACTCCCAGCTATCCTCCTGCTTCAGCCTCCCAAATGCTGGGATTATAGGCGTGCACCACCATTCCCACTTCCTCTATTATTATTTGATGCTTCACTCTATCTCTGATGTTTGTTGTTTTGAAATCTGTGTCTGAAACTAAGGTAGCCACTTCAGATTTGTTATGGTTAGTATCAGCATGATGTATCTTTCTCCACTCCTTTAAAGTATCTGTATCTCTATATTTAAATTGATTTTTAGACAACATAGAGTTGGTCTTGTTTCTAATACTAATTTTAATCCCAGCATTGGGAAGGCTAAGGCAGGAGAATCACTGCAAGTTTAAAGCCAGCCTGAACTATATAGTGAGGCCCTGTCCCAAAAAAGCAAAAACAAAACCAAACCAAAACACTGAGCCAGGTATGGTGGTGCAGGCCTGTAATCCCTACACTTGAGAGGCTAAGGCAGAAAGACTGCTGTGAGTTCAAGGCCACCCTGGAAGACATAGAGAGTTCACAGCCAGCCCAGATTGCAGATTGAGGCCCTGTCTTAAACATTTTTAATAAAATACTTCTCTCTGTGTGGGGGAGTATGTTCCAAGACCCCCAATGAATGCCTGAAATCAAAGATAGTCCTGAATCCTATCTATACTATATTTTTATGATATATTCATACCTATATAAAGTTTAATCAGTAGATACAATGATATGAATCATAACTAATAAAATATAAGATTTATAACAATATACTGCAGCAAAAGGTGTGACTATAATCTCTCAAAATATCTTATTGCACTTTTACCTTTTTACTTAACAAAAGTACAAGCTCTTTGGCATACTGAATGGCTAGTGTCTCAACCCTTAATGAAGTAAGGGTTACTTGAACACAAGCAATGCCATGACAGTTGATTTGTTAACGGAGACAGCTCCTAAGTGACGAAGGGAGGGCATCACATACAGAGTGACTGCGCGGGACAAAAGGATGATTCACAGCCTGGGCGGGATGGGCAAAGACAGTGCAAGACTTCATGCTACTCAGAATGGTGGACAATTAAAAGCCTATGAATTATTTATTTTGGAATTTTCCATTTCACATTTTTGGAACATGGTTGGTCAGGAATAACTGACACACAGAAAATGAAATCAGCTGGATATGATGGCGCGTGCCTGTAATCCCAACACTTGCGAGGCTGAGGCAAGAAGATCATCAGGAGTTCAAGGTCATTCTGGGCTACACAGTGAGTTCAAGGCCAGCCTGGGCTATGTAGTGAGACCCTGTCTCAAAACAAAAACAAAAACAAAGGAAAAAGCAAAAAGAAAAAAGAAAAGAAAGTGAAACCAAAGGTGAAGGGGGAACTATTGTATTAGCAAATTAAATCCAGAATATATAAAGCAAATTATACCCCAATACTAAGTGCAGTTATTCAGTGATACAAACATGGTTCAATATTAAAAAATCAACTTATGTCACCAATAGAAAAGCATTAGGCTAAAATTCAATTCAGGATAAAAACTCAAACTAGGAACAGAAGATAACTTTGAACTTGATAAACACAAAAACATCTGTGACAGTTGGGCATTGTGCCACATGCCTATAATCCAGGACTCAGAGGCTGAGGTGGAAGGGTCAGGACTTCAAGGCCAGTCTGGGCTGCATAGTGAGTTCAAAGCTGGCCTGGAATAAGAGCAAGATTCTCTTTCAAAAAAAGAAAAGAAAAGGGAAAAAGAATGTATGGGTAACATCATTCTTATGATCATAAGATCAAGAACAAGGCAAAACTGTCTATGCCTACGACTTTATTCAACAGAGTCCTGGCAGTCCTGGGCAGCACAATAAGGCAGAAAAAGAAATGAAAGATACATGAATTTGAGAAGACAAATTTGTCTATTATATATCTTTTAAAGGTCTCATTTCTGAAACTCTCAAAACTCAAAGGTAAAAAAGCAAGCAAACAAAAACTCCAACCGAAAAACAGGCAAAACATGACAAATATTTTACTGAACAGGATGTAGAGATAGCAAAAAAAAAAAAAAAAAAAAAAAGATATGTTCAACACCAGTAGATACCGAATAGAAAGTTAAATAGCAATTAATAACATATTAGATATCACTGCACACTTATTGGCTAAAATAAAAGTGGCCATTCCAAAAATAATTAGGATATAGAGGAACTGTGTTGTCCATATATTGCTTGTGGGAATGTAAAATGATTCAGTTACTCTAGAAAATAGTTTGGTAGCTTCTTAGAAAGCTAAACACACTTATCACACTCCTGGGCACTTATTCCACAATACTGAAAACTACATCGACATGAAAACTTGTGTGTCAGCCAGGCATGGTGGCTCATGCCTGTAGTCCCAGCATCTGGAAGGGTGAGGCAGGAGATCACCGAGAGTTTGAGGCCAGCCTCAATTCAAGGTCAGCCTGACTACATAGCAAAACCCTGTCTCAAAAAAACATTAGAAAAAAATTTTGCGTACATGTCCTTAGCAGCTTTATTTGTAATACTCCTAAATTTGAAACTGTCAAACTATGGTACATCTACACCCTGAAATTCTGCTTGGCAAAGGGGAACAAATTATTGATATACTCAAGAACATGGATGAATATAAAGGGCATTATCCTGATTTAATGGATTCTACTTACATAATTTTTGGGGGGTCGGTATCGGGAATCCAACTCAGGACCTTGTGCTTGCCAGGCAGGTGCTGTGCCACTGAGCTATATCACCAGCCTGATATGATATTTTTAAAGTGACAAAATTATAGATATGCAGTGGGGTTGCCATGGATTAGGAGTGAGAGAAGAAGGGGTGGGTGTGGCTGGAGCCTTGTAATAATGGGACAGTCCTGTACCTAGTGTGTGGTGGTGGCTACATGAACCAACATATGGTTTAGATACAGAACTATAGCTATGCAAGGTGTCACACTGAAGGAAAATGAATGAAGGGCACTCACGGATGTTTTTGAAACTTTCTATGATTGTAATTATTTTTTAAATTTTAAAAATGAAGCAAACTATTGATACACACAACAATTTGGATCTCAAGAGCATTATACTGAATGAAAAAAGCAAACACTACATGATTCTATTCACATAATATTCTTGAAATAAATTATAGAGATGGACAAAAAAATTAGTGGTTTCTGGGGGTGAGGGATGAGCTGAGGGAAAGGAGGAGGAACGACGACAGAAATCTTCCTGGTTATGAGACACATTCACAAATGAGTGTATCTAATGCTGGTAATATCTGAATAAGGACTTTGTACTCTATTAATGTCAGTTTCCTATTCTGATATTGTACTGTAGCTTTGTAAGGCGTCACAGTTGGAAGAAACTGGGTGAAGGTACCTGAAACCTTTCTGTACTGTTGTTGCAACTTCCTTTGAATCTATAATCACTTCAGATTTTAAAAAATAATTTTAAAAAAGTAGCAAAAAGCCTTTGAACTCCAAAGTTCTACTAGTGGGATGCAGACCACGAGAACTATTAAACTGCAAATACACACACACATAAAGGAAGGGATGACTCAGAACACAGTCCTCTGGGCACAGTAAAAATTGTACTAGGATTTTCTGTGGCAACCAAACTGATTTTTAAAATACAAAAGCATTTTCTTCTTGTTGTTGTTGTTTTGCTTTGTTTTTGTTTTTTTGAGATAGGGGCTTACAATGTAGTTCAGGCTGACCTTGAACTCACTATGGAGCCCAAGTTGGCATCAAACTCACAGTGATCCTCCTGCCTCAGCCTCCCAAATCCTGGGGTTATAGGCAAATGAAGTGCAATAGCCAAAACTCTTTTGAAAAAGAGATTTACTATAAGGAAACAGCTGACTTTTGAGGAAAGTGCAAAGGTATTTAATGGAGGGAAGATGGCCTTTAAATAAAAGGATATCCATGTGTGAAAGACAAACCTTAATCCACAACTTATGCTTTTCACAAAATCTAAATCAAAGTATTACTTAGCCATAAAGAAAGATAAAATTGAGACATTTATAGCCAAATAGACCTTGAGACCAGACTCATAAGTGAACTGAATCATTATCTCTCTGGTGTGAGAAACTGAAAATGTAAATATGATCGTAAGTATACAGTAGATACTGTGAAATAGGAAGAAATTGTTCAAAAGGAAAAGGGAAATAGGGAACAGAGAGGGGAAAGGAAGAAAGGGAAAGAAAAAGCGAGAAAAGGATAAAATGAAAGCCAACCCTTGTGAAGGGGAAGGCAAGCAGACGTGAGAAGGGGGTGGGGTGGGAGAGAGGAGCATATAACTAAAGACCGGGGTCTCTCTGTGTACCTAAGCTGCACCAGTAAACTTCACACAAGCAGGCACGAGTCTTCCAGCCTGCGTTGTGGCCATGCCTGTACTCCCAACTCTTGGGCTCCCCAGGCAGAAGGAGCAGAAATTCAAGGTCAGCCTGGGAGATTTAGACACTACCTCAAAATAAAAATTAAAAGGGCTGGCGGGTATAGCTTAGCACTCCTTGGATTCAATTTCCAGCACTATTTAAAAAAATTAGTCTTGTACCCAATTTAAAAACCTAAAGTCACAAAATGTCTAGGAGTAAGTCCTAGTGATTTGATGTGAGACCAGTATTTCTTAATTTGATACCAAAAGCACAGTCCATAAAAAAAGATAAAATAGACTTCATCAATACTCACATCTTTGAAGGAAAAAATAGAAACAGCTTTTGTAAATAAGAATGGGGAGAGGAGTTGAAGGGAGGGTAAGGGAAGCAGGGAAAGAACCAAGATATGTCATGTACAGATATAAATTTCCTATAATGACTGTGATCATTATGTACACGTAAATTGTACCAACAGATTTAATGTTTTAAAAACTGCAAAAAAAAGCTGGGCGTGGTGGCTCATACCTGTAATCCCAGCACTCGGGAGGCTGAGGCAGGAAGATCGTTACAAGTTCAAGACCAGCCTGGGCTACAAAGTGAGCTCAAGGCCAGCCTGACCTGCATAGTGAGACCCTGTCTCAAAACGACAAAAAAAGAAAAAAAAAACTGCAAAAAAGTGAGAATTTTTAAAGAAACAGTTAATAAAACTAAAACATAAAGCATACACTAGTAGAAAATAGTTACAAGTCACTTGTCTGATAAAAGGATCCCAAAAATTCTCTTAGGTATTTAATAATATGAAAAGTGACCTAATTATTATTATTAATTTTTTTTTGGTACTAGGGATCGAACTCACGACCTCGCAGTTAACCAAGCAAGTGCTTAAACCACTGAGCTAAACCCCCAGTCTAAAATGGCCTAATTTTAAAATGGTAGAAAGAGCCAAAAGTTCATCACAAAACACAGATTTCAAATGGGTATGTGAAAATACGTTCAATATTATTAGTCATTGGGAAAATACAAATTAACACTGTGACGAGATATAACTACCTATCTCTAGAATGGCCAAGGGAAAAAACCTCACAAACCTTATAGAATTAACTGTTGCCAAGGTGGCAGAGCAACCAGACCTCTCATACTCTGCTAATGAGAATAGAAAACAGTACAGCCCCCTAGGAAAGCTGTTTGACAGTATCTTATGAAGTTAAACATAAAATTACCATACAACCTGGTAATCCCATTTCTAGGCAGGTACCTAAGTAAAACAAAAAACCTGTATTTCCACAAAAACTTGGCACAAGTGCGTTTAGTAACTCTCATTCATAATCACTAAAACACAGAAACTAGCCCAGATATCTTTGAATAATAAACATTTATTAAATGAAATACTACTCAACAATGAAGAGACAAATCATTAACACTTAACATGTGAATCGCAGATGAGAGAAATGCTGATCCAGAAGCTCCATACCACGTGATTCTACCTGTAAGATTTTTCATAAATGACAAAAGCTGTCGGGACTGACAACACATCAGTCATTGCCAAGACTGGCAGTGGGAACTGAGGTTGACCACACAAAGACAGCTTGAGAGGAGTTAGGGCAGGTGTGAAGCCATTCTGTCTATTGATTGCTGGGATTATATAATGGGATACACTTGTCAAAACTTATAAAATCATACACTAAAAAAGGGTGAAATGTACTTGTATACATCTCAATGTAAGAAATACAATCTCATGTAAGAAATACATCTCAATGTAAGAAAACTAAGGTACAGACTATAAGAGGAAACAAAAGAATAGAACCTTGCATCCACTGTTGGGGAAAAACTAACATGTTGGGGAAGGTGTGGAGAAACTGGAACCTCTGTGAAGTGCTGGTGGAAATATAAAATAGCACAGTCGGTGTGGAAACCGGATGGCAATTCCTCATGGAATTAAAAATAGATGGCTCTAGGTTCAGTCCCCAGCCACATACACACACACACACACACACACACACACACACACACACACACACACACAGAATTACAATGTGATCCAGCAATTCCACTTTGAGAACCCAAAAGAATTGAAAGCAGTGTCTAGAAGAGATATTTGTATATTCCTGTTCATAGCAGCATTCTTTACAATTGGCGAAAAATAGATGCTAAATTACACAATGCTGAGTGAAATAAATCAGATATAGAGAGCTAAATATCGTTTGGCTTCTTTTATATGAAAAATCTAAAGTATAAATAGTTTAAAGAGCAAAATAAGAGATGATAAAACACAGGGCGGTAGATGGTGGAGATGTGAGGGGATGTAGGGGTGAGGAGAAGGGGAGCATTTAGGGGCGAGGAGGAAAGATGATTAAGATGCAATATGTGAATGTACCAATTCTCTAAGATGAATGTAATTATTATCATATACCAATAAAACCACAAAAAGATAAAAACAACCTGAATGTGTGTTATTGAGAAGTGTGGAAATTTCTTTTTTTTTTCCCCCAGTTCTTTCTTCAGGACACCAAAAACCTGAAAAGAATCCCTGTAAACAATCTGTGGGATCCCCCAAATTGGTAACAGAGTGATCAAGCAAAATAGGCTACGGAAAATCACTTGTGTAGCCACTGCTGTGTTTAAAGCCTGAGCACTGGGGCGATGAATTGCTTTGGCAGATACACCTTCAGAAGCCAGGAACCGGGTGGGGCATGCAAATAAAAATACCAACATTCATGCCGGTGCTGCATTTGTTTATTCATTACAACCATATTTGTCTATAGATAGAAGTTAGGCAAAATTCAACAAAAGTAGTTGGCTAATGGAATATGTAAGAAATTGCATATAGCAGTGGTGGTAAATCTCTGCCATGTATGTTGCAGCAAGCTGTCTATGTAACTGAAAGCTCTAAAAGCTTCACCATTATTGGTAGATAGAATGTTGTGATTTGTAGATTTCTATCAGTAAAATGTTGTGATTTGTAGATTTCTATCAGTATGCACGCGCGCGTGCATACACACACACACACAATACACATTTTGTTTCACAGAATGAATAAACAAGCATACACACCATTTTCTTTCTCCTCTACTAGAATGTAAGCTCCTTGAAAGTAATAATTTTATTTCAGTTCAGCACTTAGGAAAATATCTGGCATGTAGCAGGCACATTTCATGCAACTGAATATATGAGCAGTTTGGGAATCCCTGGTTTCGTGAGTTGACTGCTAGACTTCAGTTAGGATTCCAGTTCTACCATCATCCAGCTTTAAATTATCAAAGGAACCTTGGCTTTCTCATTTCAAAGAAGGCACCATCTTCTTAGGTCACAGAGAGGCTGCTGTCTTTCACTTCTAGTCCACTGATGGAAGTTTCGCTCTGCTCCTCCATCCTTGTGCCACACACAATCCCTGCAGACCCAGCCCTGCTGCTGTCACACATTTCAGTGATGTCACAGGTCCCTGACTGGGAGTTCCCCACCACCATCTGATGCTCAGCCTGAGTGCTGGCTGGACTGAGAGGGGCAGGGTGCACACAGTGCCAGGTCCGGTTTTGCTCCTTCAGTCTTTGAGGCCTCACAACCCCAGCATGTGTCCATCAGTAAAGAAGCCCAAGAACACAGTGGCTTCCAAGGTCAGACTCTGGGACAGACCCTGGGATGAGCCCCTAGAAGGGACCTGAACAAAGAATCCAGCCACACCAAGAACAGAGGTGTTTCAGCTTAGAACACCTAAGGAAAGGGAAAGGAAGGGTGGAGAAAGTCAGGAGGGTTAAATGGTCCTCCATCCTGTCCCCAAACCAAGGTGACAAAATTCCCAGTCTAAGGCTGGTCAAACCATGCTCAGCCAAACGAAGAGGCATCACAGAGGCATTCAGAAGGATTTTCCTCCTGTGCTAACCTCTGCCTCTCTGTTCCTATCTCTCAGATGGAAGATAAGAAATTTAAAGACAAGACAAGGCAGCCTGTCTACAAAACAAATCAGCAGAACAGACTTAAAATGGTGAGATGCCTCATTCTGACCCCAGCTTAGGGGAGCATGATTCTCCATGCTTCTGGCTGCCAGGTGGAGGTACCCAGAGGGGTCAGCACACCCAGCCTGAGCTGAGCTGAGCTGAGCCACAGACAATAAAGTGAGAAACCTCCTCAGGAGAGCTGAAGCTTTTATTTTTCTGGTTTCTCCTGGCAGGTGTTAAGAAAATTGTCACTCTTGAAGCTACTCAACAACTCAAACAGCCGGATCCAAGAACTGCATAACCTGGCCAGAAGGTGTTGGAATTCAGTGCTCAGATTTCCTGAGATCCTTGGTATCTCCTCTGGGTGAGCTCAACTCACTTTGACCTTCACAGCTGTCACTACTGGGAAAAGATATTGTTCTAAGGAATTTAAAAACTATATTTTTCACAAAGGGTCTGTAGATAGGTATTTATTTTGCCCATTTTACTGATGGGGACTGGGCCTTAAAGGCTTAGTTCAGCTATGTGAACCGCTAAGTGGCACAGCAACAACTCAAAGTCATGCCAATCTGATATCAGAGCTATACCTTAGCAGTGGTCATAATCCCCCAACTGTGGGCTAACCACAACCTGGGGCACTGAGTAATAAGAGATCATCATCCTCCCACTGACCCAATCCAGAGATTCACCTGCATACTGGCCTCTGAAGTTGGAGTAGTATTTCTTCCTGAGTTCAATTTCCTCCTAAATCACATTAGCATATTAAGAATGTTGACATTTATTAGGTACCTGTTAATGTGCTAGATACTGTATTAAGCACCTTAGAAGTATTGCATTTAGTTTCTTCTTCACAATGATCCTTCTACATACACAGAATTATCTCTGGCTCTGAGAGGTTAAATTGCTTATTGTAATCCAGATTGAGGCAGAAGCAGAATCTGAACCTCAGTTTGCCTGACTCCAAAGACTGTGCTTAAATGGGCATAGTATCACATATCTATAATCCTTGCACTCAGGAGAATTTCGAGTTCAAGGTGGCCGTGCGCTACACATTGAGTTCAAGGTTAGCCTAGACTACAAGCTCCAACTTTGTTGTTGTTGCTGAGTGGAAAGTATCCTCCCCTCATCCTCTCCCCTATGCAGGGCAAGTGAGCTACCTCCTCAGGACCCTAATTTCCTTGTAATACAATCTAAAAAATCACTGGGCCATCCTTTCAACTGAAGTCCAGAAAGAGAGCACCCTCCCTGGTGACAGATGCATACAATGTGTATTCCTAATTCCTTCCTTCCCACCCTGTCCACCCCTTCATATTCTACTCCCTGCCACCAAATGTAGGCCTCTGGTCAGTAGACACGTTTCTTCTCAGGCTCTTTAGCATTAATGGGCTCCATGAGCTCTTTCAGGACTAGTCTAGGGCCTAAGTTCTCCTTTGCTAACAGTTTTTCCTTTTCCCACCAGGGGGGAAAATGTTTGCAATCAAGGAAGACGAAATAATGAAGAGCTCCAAGAAGCTACAGGCCTTGGGAAGAACCTAGAATCCAAGAAGAGAAAGTCCACGAAGGAACCTAAGGAAGCAAAGTGCAGTGAGTGTGAGGAGGAGCCAAGAGTAAGCAACATGGTGGGAGTTTCACCTGTTGCAGCACCAAGGCGAGAAGAGCAGATTGAACCTGACATGCCAAGGACATCAAGGGGTCGTGGCCTGAATCCTACAGCCCGGAAAAAGCAACCGCCCACAAGGTGCCCCAATGTTGTCTTTCTGAAGACCCCCAGCAACAAAACTCCCATGGGGGACATGAAGCAGCTGGATGAAAATGGCCAGTACGCTTGGTTTGAGGGGTTGCCTACACGAATCCACCTCCCAGGGCCGAGGGTCATGTGCAGAGCCTCCAAGCTACGTTGGGTCAAGCGCCCCTGCACCCGCTTCTGCTCTGCATCACTTGAGGTTCCTATGTACCATTCATACAAGGTGGGTATGACAATGCCACTGCTAGGCCAGGGTGAGATGCAGACTCTCGGCTTATGTGTCCAGAGGGCAGGGAAGCCACTGACCAATCAGCACAGCAGGACTGTTGCTGAGGCCACTGAGAGATGCAGTAGGGACCCCAGGGGAAGGTGGGACACTGGAAGTGAGGGTACCAAAGCAGGTGTCTAATTGTGTGGAGGCCAAGGTGGACCTGCTATGGCTCTGAATATTGACTACAGGTTTATTTAAGTAAGCAGGTGTAGGAATTTCTAAATGTGGGAAAGGGGGAGTGGTCAAGTTCAGTTTTGTTGCATTCCAACCCCTCTAGACTAAATCAACTCTCCATAAGTAAGAAAGATTTACTCTGAACAAGAATTTAGGGAGCCAGGGAGAGAGAGGGAAAGGGAGAGGGGGAGGGAGGAGACGGAGGAGAGGAGGAAGAGGGAGGTAGAGGGAGAGAGGAAGAAGGGGAGAGGGAGAGAGGGAGAAAGAGAATGAGCGAGCTATGGATGGACAAAGGTAGGAGATAATGAAAGTAGGTCTCACGAAAGGGGATTGGTGCAGCTTTCCCCACTAGCAGCAGACACCCTTGGCCCGGTGCTCTCAACCAAGGATAGCGCCCTCTGGAGGTGATGTCAGCGCCTAACACCTAGGTCTCTGCTCGCAGTTTGTGTGACCAGGGACTGGAGCTCATGAGGAGAGGTGGAGATGGCACCATGAGCTGAATACAACGGATGATGGGACGGGAAATTCGCGAGTCTACAAATAAAATTCCCCATATGGCACTGAAAAATGCTTCTGCGGGTTGTATGGGGTTGGTGAGACTAGAGGAAGAAAGCCTTCGTTGTGGGGTGGCGAAGGGACTACAGCACAAATACTATGACTTCAGGCTCCCCCAGTTCCCAGCCCTCAGCTCCTAAGGTCTTACCCAGAACAAAGAGGGCTGCCAGCTGTACCCCTCCCCCTCTGGGAGCTGATCTGGGTGGTGCACTCTTCTGTGAAGTCAAAGAATCATTGTGTGCTTCTATGGTGTAAACCGCCTCATAATGGCCTTGAGGCAAAGTTACCAAAAAACTCTGGCACTGGGTGTGGTAACACACACTGTAATCCCAGCACTCTGGAGAATGAGATAGGAGGATCCCTGCAAGTTTTAGGTCAGCCTGGGCTACATGGTGAGTTTAAGGCCAACCCAAACTATCCCAGCTGGATCTTGTCTCAAAAAAACCAACAGGAAGTTGTGGTGCCCAGACAGAAAGTGACTTACCCAGCTTGACTCTGCTGAGGAAATGACAAAGGCAAAAACTTAACCACCTTACTTCCCTAAAAATAAGACCAGTTCTAATATTAATTTTTGTTCCAAAAGAGGCAATAGGGCTTATTTTCAGGTGATGTCTTTTTTTTTTCAAGAACAACAATCTACATTTATTCAAATATGGTTACGTCACCTTCCTCTGGAATATCGTAACTCTCCAAACCCTGAATTTCTTGCAACTCCATTTCCTGTAGAACCACTGGTCTGGATATCTCATGTCCAACAGCAGAGCTCTTTTTAAATGACCACTTCTTGTCCATGTAGTCTGCACAGAGTGCACCAGCAACACAGCCATCAGTGATTTCATCCCAGGAGTTCTTCACCCAAGTCACTACCTGTTTCAGGGTAGGCTTCATTTAAATGAAGACTTATGAGACAGGAATGGCAACAAAAATGGTGACAGTTAAGAATGATGGTCTACACAAAAGTGACGAAAAATTGCAGGCACCAAAATTCAGAAAATGAGAATGGGGATATAGCTCAGCGGCACAGTGCCTGCCCAGCAAGCACAAGGTTGTGAGTTTAATCCCTGGTACCAAAAAACCCCCCCAAAACAAAACAAAACAAAACAAAAACCAGAAAACAAAATTCAGAAAAACATCTTTCACATGAATGCAGTAAGTACATCTCTGACAACACACAATGTACTGAATTATGAAGATCATATTAGACACAACCACATCTATTCATAATCAAGTGCACACATTATTCATGCACTATGTCTGTACTCCAATTGGTCATTTGGCAATAAGCTCATCTGTTTACACAGACATTTACCACTCATCCTAAGGGGCTCACTTGGGTATTTACAAATGCTTCATCATAATTCATATTATCATCTAAGTGTTAATGTCAATATTTATATTTAATTATATATTTATATTATTTTGTAATTTGGTATGTTCGTCATGTATTGCAATGGATGTACTAAATCAGTGGTGGCAAACCTATGGCACAGTTTGTCTGTTTTCCTTTTCAAACAAAAGATGCTAATGCATGATTTTTTTTGTGTGTTTGTTTGCCCAAAACCTCAGCACTGTATTTAGGCTTAATTGCAGTGTTGGCACTCTGCAATGAGTGAGTTTTGGACTGCAGTTTGGTAATCTCTAACTTTGCCATCATGGTTCTAAATGCACCCATCTGGCTGACGATCTTAAGTGGGGCTTATTTTGGGGGTAGGCCTTATATTTTGAGGATCCTCAAAAATCATGCTAGGATTTATTTTCCAGTTAGGTCTTATTTGGGGGGAAATACAGCAGGTATCCTGGCTGCTCTCCATTCCATTTTCCTAAGAAAAAAAAAACTCAAGAAGAGCCTGCTAGACAGAGGTAACAACTGGGATGGTGGAGCAGTCCCAGCCTCTATGCCCAGTGCTGCTGCTGTCAGCCTGTGGGTGTCACCTGGGCCTCTCAATGTGGCCTATGTGGATCACAGATCAAGGAAAATACCAGGTCAGACAGGGAGCTAGCACTGTGTCCCTAATGCTCCGTGGAACCTGGTATGTTTACCATCAACCCCAAGCTCTGGTTGGGGTCGTCCTCTAATGGTAGGAGCCTTTAAGGCTCACAACAATCCAGTGGGGAGAGGAAAACTGAGAGGGTCCACATTTTTCCAATCCAAGACCCTAACCCTCTGTATTCGCTAGAGGAAGTCTGTGCAGCGTGGATGCCCGAAGTCAACAAAAGAAGCAGACCCTTTCCTGGAGGAAGACTGGGCAGTGGTGAGGAGATCTGCAGTTTGGAAGTGGGTAAACTGTAAGAGGGCCCCCACCAGCTCTCATGCTCCCCCCAATAATTCCTGGCACCAGCACCATGACAGGGCACTAGTAGGGCCCTGGGGCTGACACCTCAATCTGGGCATAAGCCTCGGCAGAGTGTACCACATGCTGCAGCTTAGTGTCGTCCCTGTTCCTTACTTACCTCCAGTGAGCAGTGGACCCCTGCCACTTCCTATGTAGCCCGGTGACCTCCACTTCCTGCTGTGTTCCTACTCAGCTCGAATGCCAGGCCACTTTCTGAGTAGCTGCCACTTCCATTCCCTTGCTAGGTATCACCAATCTTGGAAAATAACCTTTTCTCATTCTTCCTTCCCAAGTGCCTTCTAACCCATCAGCCTTAGTACAATCTTCAGTCCTGAGTGCACCATCATTAGGTGGTCAGGGAAGCACAGTCCCCAAACTTTCTTTCCTGGGACCTCTCCCTTCCCCAGCAATAATCTTGGTGAGATCCTTCCTAGGGGGGCTGGGCTCCAGTTTCTCAAGGGGAAATGCCACCATGCCACCCAGCATAAAGGACACTTATATAGGAGGCTGGGGATCTGGCCTGGCTACAGGAGCAAGGACTTCAGGTCCTAGCATGGAGTGACTCCTAGCAGAGGGCTCATTACAGCCACATCCCCATCTGCCCTGGCAGCTGCTAATACGCCTCTGATACCCTGCCCACCATGGCCCCCAAACTGGGATCTCTCTACTACCACTGATCACTTCAATCTGAATCTTTTCTGGGCTCAGTAAGATCCTGACTTGGGGAGGAGGCCATTCTAGAAATGGGTAACAGTTAACAGGGGGTGGAAGGGGCACTTTAAAGTGTTTGATTTGGAGCTTATTATTGGGGGCTGGGGATTTAGCTCAGCGGCATAAGCACCTGCCTTATAAGCAGGCGGTCGGGAATTCAATCCCTGGTACTGATAAAAAAATAGAAAAGAAAAATGTAAAATGGAGCTTATTATTGAGTGAATTTTAACAAGTCACATGACCACTGTCAGCCTATTTCATGTTTTTAAAACAAGGATACTAAAGTTCATTTCAGAAGGCTTTAAGCAAATCAAGTTTATGTAGATAAAATCAGTTGTGGGGTACAGAAAAAATGTTTGGCCTTTCCCTAACCCTTTTCCCTGGGCCTTTCCAATAATGAAGCCCCAGGGATTGTACTGACCCCATTTCTTGCTTATGAGCAGCTACATAACTGAGGGCTTTTGGCAACTAGCTGCTTGTCAATAAGCCAAGCTTATTTCATATTCACCGTCACTTAACTGTTCTAATTGTCTAGATTAGGTCCTATGCAAACAATCGGAATGTAAAAGTAGAATGGAGCCTTTGAGGCTAATTTTATTAGCTGGGTGATGTAAGGAAAGTTGTTTATTCCCTAACCTTCAATTTCTTTGTTTGCAAGAAATAGTGATGCCCAAGCTCATTAGGTTAAATGAAAAGACACCACTTTGCAGGGTAAGGAGCTTACCACTTAGTGGTGGTACCTATACCACAGGCATGCCTGCAGCCTGTGTAACACTAGAAAACACATTGGTTCATGAAACAGTCCTCTTCTATAAGATCGGAGGTAGGTAGTAGCCTCATAACAGGCTTTTGGATCAGTTCTTCTGTGCCAGGCACTGTGCTAAGTTCTCTGCCCATAACATCTTTTTAAATCCTCATAACCCCAGGAAGTACAATTGGCCCTCCACATCTGTGAGTTCTGTATTCATTCTGTGCTTACCAACAGTAAGCACTTCAGCAACACCAAACATATATAGCTTTTATTATTCCCGAAACAATACAATAATACAGCACAACTTTTGCTTTTTTGAGACAGGTCTTGCTATGTAGTTCAGGCTTGCCTTGAACTTACTATGTAGCTTAGGCTGGCCTTGAATTTGTAGTGATCTCCCTGCCACAGCCTCCCAAGTGCAGGGTGCACATCACAGGGTGCCCAGCAGCAACAACTATTTGGATAACATTTATACTACAATTGTAAGTACTCTAAAGTCTATGAAGGGATGAGTGTAGGTTATAATATTATGCTGTTGTATTTTCTCACTATGCCATTTTATATAAAGAATTTGAGAATCTTCAGAATTTGGTATCCTTAGGGATCCTAAAAGCAGTCTCTCATGGATATTGAAGGTTGACTCTAGAACTACTCTCATTTTGTAAGTGAGGAAACTCATTTTACAAATGAAGGTGAAATTAAATAGTTTACCCAAGGGCTCACACTAGTAACAGGGACGCCAGGACTTAACCCTACACCTCCATGGCAGTCCTCTGAAGTCACCTAGCTTCGGATCCTGTCATTCTTACTGATTTACCAAGGTAGCAGCCAGTGTTCGGCTTTCTCTACCCTTCCTGCCTCAGTGCTGTCTTCATCGCCCTTTATTACTTTCCTACAGAAAATGTCAAGCAATAATCCTCCGCTTTTAATCCTCCAGGAATCTTCCTGTATTTGAATCTATCCCTCTGTCCCCAGACCCTGGGTCTTCAGATATCATGCCCCTGAGGTTCTGTGTCCGCTGGGTACCAGCTGCCCTCTGGGTCTGAGTCAAAGGAAGGAGTCCAATACACTGAGCTTCTGGGACAGACTGAGCTAAGCAACCCTGTAAGCTCAGGCTTCCTAATAAATTTTCAACCTCCCCTATGTCTCTTGGCTCCCATTTGGTCAGGGATGCCTAGACCCTGGGGTCAGAGCTACCCTCTGAGCCAGGTATCTCTTCTTCCTTTCCCATCTTTCTTCTTGGTTATAAACTATTTGAGCATGAATTATACAAAACTCATCTCTTTTCCCTCTGAATGGCCAGAGTTCAGGTGGTATGTGAGCAAGGGAAGCTGACTTCAGTTTCCTAGAAAGTCAAGAGATACATCAAGTTGATGGTGGGCTGGAAGCAACTTTCTGATCTAGGTACAATCCTTTATGCTCTGGAAATAGACATTTCCTGCATTCTCACAGTCATCTGGAACTCTCTGGCCATATTTTGTATACTGCCTATCAATTTTTCTCAAAAAGCCAGCACACTAAGTCCTC